GGTAAAATATACATAACACAAAATTTACTATTTTATGTTAACTATTTTATTTTTTGAGATAGAGTCTCCCTATGTCACCCTGGGTAGAGTGCTTTGGCATCACAACTCACAACCACCTCCAACTCTTGGGTTCAAGAGATCCTTTTGCCTGCCTCCCAAGTAGGTGGGACTACAGACTCCTGTCACAATGCTGGCTAGTTTTTCTCTGTTTACTAGAAATGAGGTCTCACTCTTGCTCAGGCTGGTCTTGAACTCCTGAGCTCAAGCAGTCTGCCCGCCTTGGCCTCCCAGAGTGCTAAGATTACAGGTGAGAGCCACTGCACTGGGCCCATATTAACCATTTTAAAGTGTACATTTCAGTGGCGTTGAGTACATTCACACTGTTGCGCAACCATCACTACCATCCATCCCCAGAACTTTGTCATCTACCAACACTGAAACTCCATACCCCCTACCCAGTAGCTTCCCTTTCCTCCTCCCTCCAGGCCCTGGCAACCACCATTCTACTTTTTGTCTTTGTGAATTTGACTACTCTATGTAACTCTCAGAAGTGGAATCATGCAGTATTCGTCTTTCTGTGACTGGCTTATTTCACTTAATGTAGAATCATCACGGTTCATCCATGTTGTAGCAGGTGTCCGAATTCATTCTTTTTTAAGGTTGGGTATATTCCATTGTGTGTACATACCATATTTTGTTTATTTGTTCATCTGTTTATGGCTTGTTTCTACCTTTTAGCTGTTGCTCTGAGCATTGGTATACAAGCAATGTTCAAGTCCCTGCTTTCAATTCTTTTGGGAATACACCTAGAAATGGAATTGCTGGATTGTATGTAATTCTATGTTTAATTTTCTAAGGAACCACTATACTGTTTTCCCATAGTGGCTGAGCCATTTTACATTTTTATCAGCAGTACACAAGGATTCTAATTTCTCCCTTTTCTTGCCAACATTTACTATTTTCTGGTCTTTTTTTCTTTTTGATCATAGCCACTCTACTGGATGTGAAGTGGTATCTATCT